CAGAGGCCAGCCTTGCTAGCTCGCTGGGGTAACCAGGAGACTCTGTGCTGCTCAGATTCAGCGTGGGCTCCGGAACACTGCAGTGCCCAATGCAATGCATGCTAAACCTCAGCAACAACGAGCGTGCCAGCCTCTCAGCTTTCACCGCTGCAAGGCCCCAGACGGGGACATCGCAGAAAGTTACTGAGAGGGGAAGCCTGGGAGAATGGGGGCACCCTAAGGCCCCGTCCCCCAGGTCCCAAGCACTGCTGTGTAGGCGATTTGCAAGTGTTTTGTATGCAGATCGCATGGGAGAGGGCCAGGGAAAGAAGGATCCCTAGTCCTTGGAGAAGTGAGGAGAGCTGACCTACAAAGCCTGCTGCCATGGGATGCCAGAGCACACACAAATCTGTTTTCCTGTACGTGACTGAGCTGTCCAGCCCTCTAGCCAACAGGGAGGCTCTCTCCCACTCCCAGCCAGCAGCGGTCTCAGGAGGCAGGTTGCTCAGAGCTGCCAGCTCCGTTTGTTTGCTCTGCATCTGCGGTACAATGTGCTGCCGGGCACACTCTGCTTCCAGCAGGCTGCCAAGGACAGGCCAGAGCTTTCAGGTTTGTGTTGCAGCCAAGCAAGGTTGCGGCTCAGGCCCGGGTCTAACGGAGGCAATCCCTGTGCTTCAGGGAAAAACAAAAAAACAAAAAGCTAAAGACCAGATAAAACGGACCCACTAGTAATAAAGCACTTGCAGTTTGATGGGGCAACTACAGACCCAGAAGAGAGACGTATGGCCAACAGGAGCAGCAGCCCTATGGAAGGATGTGGACTAGTGGCCTGAACACAGGACCAGCAGCCAGGATACCTGCATTCTAGTCCCAACCCTAACGACGACTCTCACCAGGGCATAGCACTCAAGCAGACTTTCAATTTTTGAGTACCCAACCCGAGACCCCAGGGGCCTGATTCCAGAGAAGCTGAGGACCCACACCATCCGTGGAAGTTGTGGGCACCTCTGTATAGCCAAGCCTAGAGCATCTCAGGTCATAGAATCATAGGGTTAGAAGGGACCATAAGCACTGTTCCCGCTAAGCTGTGCGTGCACACAGATCCTATACCCCACGCACACGGTGAAACACCGCACGCACAAAAAATGAAATACAGGGCGAAATATCATTTACGGGTGACTTTTCACATTGTTCGCCTGCCATCTATCAACACAGCCAGATTCTACTAGCTGGCGGGGGGGGGGGAGGGGGGAGGGAAAGGAGGTTAAAATTTCCTTTTTCTAAGTATTAAAAAATGACATTGATAAAATAACGGTGTAAAAACGATCACAAATTGCAAATTAAAACTTTTTAAATGTATAAGCATTTTACTCGCTTGGGCGCATTTGCCTCATGGTGCACAAATTTGAACTCTGCTTCAAAAATTTGCATAGAAGAAATTTTTTGCACACACAGCCTGTCAAAAATTAGAGGGAACATTGACCACAAGGGTCATCTAATCTAACCCCCTGCCAAGATGCAGGGTTTGTGGTGTCTAACCCATCCAAGAATGATGGCTATCCAGCCTCCTTCAGAAAACCTCCAACGAAGCAGTTTCCATGATCCCCGGAGGCATCCGTTCCATTGTCCTACTGTTCTTATGGTTAGGAAGTTTTTCCTGAGATTTTATCTGGTCAGGCACCTAAAAATCAGTGGGCACTTTGGAAAGCTGTAGCTATATTCTCTCGGAGTCTGTCAACCCACTGATGAGAATCCACCCCCTGACAGGGGAAGGGGTTGTCAGGTTAATTCATGCTTCACGTATTAAGGAAGCACTAAGCGTTGTTATAGAATTGCACCACTCAGCATGTGCATTATAGATCTTTCACTTTCTCCGGAAGCATCAGATACTGGCCCTTGGGGGACACAGACAATGTTTTATATACAGGCACCCAAATCTGTGTGAGAGTGTTTGTGGATTTCAAGGCCTGTCAGGACCATCACAAGTAATAATAGGTTTCAGAGGAGCAGCCGTGTTAGTCTGTATCCGCAAAAAGAAAAAAGGAGGACTTGTGGCACCTTAGAGACCAACACATTTATTTGAGCATGATCACCTAGTCTGACCTGCTCCATAGCACAGACCAGAGAATTTCAGCAAGTCATTCCTGCATGGAGCCCAATTACTTCTGAATGTGGAGTGGGTGTGAAGTGTCATTTTGACAGCCCAGACTGGCTGAAGCCTTCAATTTGCCAATAGTGAATTTTTGAAGTTCAACTCACACACTCAAAACCTGGAGAGTGGGAAGCTCTCTATTCAGTATAGCAGGCTAAGCCATTGATTTGTGCAAAATCTGCACTTTCGGTTTAAAACAAACAAACAAACCATTCAGTTTCTAGGCCTTACCACTGCAAAGAAAACCTTCCAATGTCGCCTTCCTGGGTCTACCCACAGGAAGCTCCGGTGCCTCGGCGGCTGATCAGAGTTTGTCAGCAGCAGACAAGTGAAAGGAACGACACTCTGCTGCCATTCGTAACCCGGAGAGCAGCTGAGAAATGGTCAAGAAATCAGGTGAGTTTGGAGAAAGCACTGAGCAGCAGCTGCAGAGGCAGGCAGAGGAGTTGACTGAGGAGGACGAGTATCAAAGGATGAAGGGGAGGAGAGAGATGCTCCCTCCTTGCCCTGTGTCCAGGAGGCTCGAAGGGAGAGACAGAAAGCAAAAAGGTGATGAAGATTCATCTTAGTTGCCAGTTGGTGGAGGCCGACAGGAGAGGGAGCCCACCCACCCACAGAAGCAGAAAGCCCAGGATCCTCTTCCTTCCCAAGAGTGGCTTCCTCATCCAGGTGCTGCCTCTGGAACTTGATACTTGGAGCTCCCCACCATCACATCTGCCCCCAGCTACGAGGCGTCTGGCAAGTTTTTCCAAGCCCTGAGCCACGTAACAGATCCAGCACAGGTCCGCAGCCCCAGCCAGCAAGCCTCGGTCCTGTCCAAGTAGGGCATTCAGTCCCCGTGCCCCTTTCAGTCTACGGCCACTCTGCTGAGGCTGCCAATAAAGGAGCCAGCTAGTGCATAGGGTGAGGCGGGGGTGTGTGTGTGTGTGGTGTGTGTGTTCTGCAGAAGGGACACTTGTCCGCTTCTGAACAGAGACCCACAAATGCACTTCACATTGGGGACACCAGAACGGCCTTGAGATGGGGGTGGGGGGGCTCTCAGATGCTACTGACACCTGGCATGAGCTGGGGTGGCAGGCTCAGGAGCCCATTCTCAGCTCCTGGAGCTGGCCAGTCCCACCATCCCTTGCTCTGGTCCTGATCGGGCCCTGGGTGTGCCCGTAATGCAGACGATCGCTACCAAGAGCCAGAGTCCTACTCTACTCTATACAGGCTCTTATATATCCCTTAGTATCTGAGCACCCCGGAAACTCCAGGGAGTAATGGATCCGGGACTCTCTCTCTCACACACTCCCCACCCCCCTCCTTGTGTGCACACTTTTCAGATCTGGCCATGCCAGCTTCCCTGACAATCCTTACAAGACACGGGAGATAGGCAGACCTTACTCCACAAGTGAGTCTATGGTACCACACAGGGATCCCAGCCTGCTCTGGTCCCAGAAGGGGTACCCCATCTTCCTACCCAGCTACCTTCTAACTACCCACACCCAGCAGGGGCTCTGGGGACACGGAGCCTCGGCAGCAGATTCCACAAGGGTCCAAGACGGATCCGGCTACTCCACCTCGCGTTGAACTTCTAGAATTTTGCTGAGGCTCCCGCAGGGGAGACCTGTACAGCAGGGGTTCACAGAGGAGATAGAAGGGTGTCATACATTCATGGGCACGCGGTGAGCGTGGGACAAGCAGGTGAAGCCCCGCTAATAGGCATGGAGTCCATAACTGTTCTAGCCAAAGGCATCTACGAGAGAAATGGAGTCACAGCTGCAAATTCTAGGCACCAAAGGCCCCGATCGCACACCACCCTGGAGTAAGGTGACTGCTGCTTGGGGGCAGTCAGGGGCAGGGGACAGAGCAGTTTTTCTTTGCAATTTGGGATCCAGGGCTCAGGCCTGTCCTAGCTTCTCTCTCTGCTGCTTGAGGCACTCCAGTTCATCTCAATCCACTGGTGGAAACGGTCCTCAGAACAGAGGGTTCAGCTCCTTGGTCAGGCAACTTTGCCAATCCCTACTTTCAGCCAAGCCACCAAGCGGAAAGCTCCCAGGCCATGGGCTAGGGGGAGGTGAGCTGACTCCGTGGAGCCTCTGTCACCACTAGTAAGGGGGTGGGGGGGGAAGAGACACAAACCAATTGCAGATGAGCATCATGCATTACAGGCCTTGGAAAGGTACATTTGGGCACTTCTTGTTCACCTCAGCACATTGTCCAAGGAGGAGAAACCCATGCAAAATTCAAAGGCAATACATTTCAAATGGATACAAAATGCTGCATTAAAGAAAGTCATTAACCGATGGAACTCACTGCTACCAGATATTGAAGCAAATAGCTCAGCATGATTAAGAGCAGGATTAGAAAATACGACATGCTAGGACACTGGCTAAAACAGAAGAGTTGTAAGAGATACCCAGTCCTTCCACTCCAGGGTAAAAGTCTAGGGGAGGTGAGGTTAGGAAAAAATCTCTCTCACACACACACACACACCCCCTTGCGGTTCAGTATGGCACAGTTAGATATACAGAATGGGGATTTTATGCCAGCAGCCTGTCACTGGGAAACAGGATACCAGGCCAGATAATCTATCTATTCCACTAATGTAAGAAGAGAGGGTACTACATAAATCATGGATCTGATCAGTTGCATGCAGGGGTCCCTGGAAACTCTCCTGCACACAGCCCCACATTCCCACCAGTTTCCTGCCCTGCACAACGCACCTAGAAAATGAAGAAATACTGAAGCAGCAAATACACAAGGAGTCTCTTGCATCCCACCGCTGCAGTGTTTTGCAAACAGCCTGCTTAACTCCAGAGCGCGTGGGCACAGACAACGCAGAGGGTACATCTAACATTCCCACAGATCCCAGCCGGTTTCTTACCTTGATTTTATGCAGGGATCTCTCCACCTCCAAGACCTGAATCCACACAACGAGTCCCGATTTGTTATAAGTTTGACTCCAGCCTGCGTCCGAGTTGCATTCGGTCCGGAAATTATTAAAATCCCGATCGTCTGGGATCTGTACGCTTTCCCGGGTGGACATGCTCGTGGAAGGGACACTGACAAATTCTAGTTTTAAGTTTCCTTAACAAGAATAGGCACGGTGGGCCTGGGACGGTGTCTGTCTCCCCCTCCCCGTCCCCACTCCAAAAAAAAAAAGGAAATACTGGTTTTGCCCCAATTAAGAGATTCTGAAACCAGAATGGTTTTGTTTTTAAAGGTAGGGGCGGGGGAGAAGGGGAAGAGGAGACGGTTTCAGAACAGGCAGGAAAAGCAGATTTCAAAATTAAGTTCTCTACAGTGAGAACCAGAAGCTGTCTCCTAAGGGCTCCTGGTGGGGAGGACTCACCAGATGGCTCCCCTGCAAACAAAAAAAGGCAAACGAATATAAATATTTCAGCACAGGCTAGAGAAAAACCCTTGAAATATCACTGAGCTGCGCTGGAGAAGTGTGTTTGCGTGTGTGTAAATAGAGTCTCTGCGCCCTGGGGGGGAGGCTTTCGCCTTTTCTCCCTGGCTCCTCAACGTTTAACGCCAAGTTGTGCGGCTCACCGCAGCCTCGAAAGCGGCCCCTGCTGCCCAGGTGTGCCGCCAATGGAGAACAGGTGAGTGTGATTACCGCGGCAGGTGGGGCGGGCTGCTTCCTCCCCAGAGGATCTGCCTCTCTCAGCTCCCCCGAGCCACGCAAGCTTCCTGCCCGGGAGGCGACGATGGTGGTAACCGAGTCCAAAAAATAAAACCACCCCAACTCCAGGGAAGGGATGGATCGCCCACGGAAAGCTGCAGCCGCAGCCGGTCCCCTCTCCTCTGGCTCCAGCCCAGGCCGGAGCAGCAGGTTAGCAACAGCGGAGGAGGAGACGGAGACGAGAGCAGGTCCCCGGTGCGCAGCAGAATCGCGGCTCCCAGGAGAGAGGTTCCACCCCGGTCTCCCCGCGCCTTGCGCCGGCTGATCCTGCCGGCCTGGGGCGCCCCGCTGGGTGCTGAGGGCTGCCGGTGGCAGCCGCCCTGCCTTTGGCTGCGCGGCGGGGGCGTCGGTCCAGGAGGTGAAACTGACCAGCCGAGCCAAACCCCAGACACAGCTGCACCTCCCAGGGCGCTGCCGGAGGATCCCGCCGGGTCCTAGCGTCCCTCGCACGGAAAAGGACGGGGCGAGAGGGTGTCGTGGGCCGGCATCACGGAGCAGCCGCCGGGCGGGCAGCCAGGGGCTGGCTCAGGCGGGATCGTTTCCAGGGGGCAGGGAGGAGGGCAAGGCGCTGGCCTGGCACTCAGCCGCTTGGTGTTCGGGCCCTGTCTCTGCGGGCCTGACCTTGGGCAAGGCACCTCGACTGTCCTAGGGAGGTTTTCTTTCCGTGTGCAGTGTAAACCCATCCGGGCAAAGCCCGGGGCTCTCATCTTGGTTGGGGTGCTCCTGGGATCTAAATAAATAATGATCATCGCTTTCGGCATCCGCCCCCCACCCCCCATGCAGCTGGGATGAAGGAATCAAGGCGATTTACACCCTCCCGTTAAAGGCCGTAAAGATGCTAATGCGGAGCTGTCACGCTGCTTTGCCGTTGGAAAGTGCTTTACCGTCATTAACTTAGCAAGCTCCATCATGCAATGAGCTGGCTGGAGTGTACACGCACCACTACCCTCTCCTGGAGGGAAATGGAACGGATCCGCCGCGTGTCAGAGGTGCATACGGCCAACACCTAATGGAGATTCTCCTTTAGCTTTCAGTGCGTTTTTTGGAGCAAGAGAATCTGAGTTCTGTAGTGGTCATTGCCAGTAGCTGCAATGCATAGTAGCCACCACGGATTTCTAGGGGCCACAGATTTGTTGCAACATTACTGATGGGGAAACTGAGGCACAGAGCAAGCAAGTGACTTGTCTGGGGCCACACACTGAATCAGAGAGGAGATGAGAACTTGGGCATTCCCTGCCGTGACCACTAACCAGCGCTGTCTTTCATTTCCTTCCCCATCAGGTGCCATGTGAATCCAGATTAGGTTCTAGTAACACAGTTTCTAAGAGAGACCCATTGAGTGTATGGATTTTAATTGCTGTCTTAATCTCGTATGATTTTAAGTCATTAGTTCCTGTTCCTGCAATCGCATCTAGGCAGACGGACCCTTGCACCCACTCAGAACTAAGGGCTTGCCCACCTGGAGCCAACTGATCTTAATCTGTATTTGTTTGATTGTAGAATCTCGGATTCTAGATGCCCAGTTATGATTTTTATTACAGAAGCACCTAGAGATTGGAGCCTCGTTGTGCTGCACGGGTGCATAGTTCCTGCCCTGAAGAGTGTGCAATCAAACAGACAAGTCAGCGAGAAGGACTGTTACAATGTGATAGCGGCGGAACTGAAACCAAGGCAAAGTGACTTTCCCCAGCTCACAAAGCGAGTCTGTGTCAGAGCTGGGAATCCAACATAGGTCCTTTGAGTCCCAGTTCAGTCCTGAACCATAAGACCGTCCTTTGATACGTTGTATAAATATTAAAGCTTTATGATCTTTTCACACCCATCACTGAGCATCACACCCATCACTGAGCAGGAGAGTGAGTTTGTGTGTGTATGGGGGTAGGGGGGGTGAGAAAACCTGGATTTGTGCTGGAAATGGCCCACCTTGATCATCATGCACATTGTAGGGAGAGTGGTCACTTTGGATGGGCTATTACTAGCAGGAGAGTGAGTTTGTGTGTGTGGTTTTTGGAGGGGGGTGAGGGAGTGAGAGAACCTGGATTTATGCAGGAAATGTCCCACCTTGATTATCATACACATTGTGAAGAGAGTGGTCACTTTGGATGGGCTATTACCAGCAGGAGAGTGAGTTTGTGTGTGTGTGTGGGGTGGGGGTGGGGGGGGCGGAGGGTGAGAAAACCTGGATTTGTGCTGGAAATGGCCCAACTTGATGATCACTTTAGATAAGCTATTACCAGCAGGAGAGTGGGGTGGGAGGGGGTATTGTTTCATGGTCTCTGTGTATATAATGTCTTCTGCAGTTTCCACGGTATGCATCCGATGCAGTGAGCTGTAGCTCAGGAAAGCTCACGCTCAAATAAATTGGTTAGTCTCTAAGGTGCCACAAGTCCTCCTTTTCTTATAACTGAATATGCCTTTGGAAAGGACCAAGGCCATCGGAGACGACCAGAAATGGAGAGGACTATGGCGTCCTAGCAGAGCTGCCCAGGGGATTCCTCCGTATTTGTGCGGCGCAGACAAGCCGGGCTTGCACAGATAAGGGCGCAGCAGTTGCAATAGCTATATAGACGGAACAAACAGCTGGGCTTGCTTTCCCAGAAAAGGGGGAGAAATTGCCCAGGTCAAGTGGCTGACGGGCAGGAGGTTGTTTGTTTGAAAGGTTGGATCTCGTTTCAAAACGCTGCTGTTTCGGGATTTCTTTCTCTCAATGTACGGCAGGGAAGAGATGCCCATTTCCAGCCCTAGGGGCACTCCACTCGCAAAAACAGAACATGCTGGTTAATGGGAGTGGAGGAAACGCCAAACCAGCTGTTAAGACCCGGCCTTGCCCATCAGTCTGGGCAGGAGCGGAGCCTGGACGAGGAGCGAGGTCCGGGGCGGGCACGTAAAGACTCTCCTGGCACAAACCGTTGCTTCAAGGTCTCGGAGCAAACCGGCGTGCATATCTTGCAGGGTTTCTTCTCGGCCTTTCTGTGATGGGATCCGTCCGCTTTGCGGTCGGGGCAAGCGTTCAAGCGTCGGCGCCTTTTGCTAAGGGGGGGCCAGCCCTGCTCGCAAAGCCCTCTCTGTCCGGCAGGGGGCAGCGGGCCTGACTCTTCCCGGACGCAGGTGCGTGTGAACCTGGCCGTATCCGGATGCGGCGCAGGTCGCATCGGCATCTGCAAACCGAGGGCGGGGCGGAAGCCCCCCCCGCTTCATGCGGAGCTAGCCGCTTGCATCCCGGCGGAGGCTGCATGCAGAGTAACCGCGGCTGGCTGCATCTTGCTGCTTTAATGGTCACGCTCCTTGCCTGCGGCGGCCCGCTGTCTGCACAGGTTTGCGCCCTGCCCACGGGCTCTGGCATCGCCGCCCCTTCCTTCTGCTCCGCAGGTCGCTCCCCGCGAAGGGTGGGGGGTGCGGACCCGGCCTCGCCCACGCAGCTCGCCAGTCTTGGCTGGCCAGTCCCTGCCACGCACCCCAGGTGCTGGTGGGCTGTAAGCGGCCCAGAATGGCACCCTAGTCCTAACCCTCTGCTCCAGATTGCTGCGGGCCACATCACAGAAAGGTGAAAATGGCTAAACCCTGATCAGCGGCTCTGCTGGCTGGCAACTATAAACTGAGTCCCCTAGCGCCAATGAGGCGTCCTGCTTCCCCCAGCCTTGCTGATTCCCTGTCTAAGGTAATTTACGAAATGCACCTGTCTGACCCAAGGAAACCTTTGTTCTGAGCTAGACTCTGACCTGTGCTCCCTTGTCTATCTCCTAAACTCCGGCCATTACCTATTTAGAAGGAAGGCTCTGGCTGCAGAGAACAGGCCTCTGGGGAAGAGGAAGTGTGTCTTTAAGGGAGTGGAGAGGAATCCCTGCCAAGTTAGGTGTCCATTTGGGCTTGGGTACGGGTAGGTTAATCACAAGTTGCCTCTCTTCAGCCCATGCCCTTCTTGGGGGAGGGAGGGAGTCTAGGTTTCAATCTGGGTTAAGAATCATGATAGTCTTGAATGGTGGATGAATTTATTAAATGGGGCCAAAGGGGCGGCAGAGATTCAGGGTGCCAGCTGGAGGCAGGTGTCACATGCCCAAGCGTTTGACCCTGTAAACTGGGCACTGACCTGCAGTGCTCTCTGCTAGTGAGTCCAACGCCCCCTTGGACAGGGTGTGCCAGGATCATACGGGGGCTCGGAGCTTTAGAATGACGGGTTGTCTGTGAGTGTGTTCCTAAGAACTGCTTTGCGAGTGTATGGGATTGAGCTGTCTGTGTTGTGTCCTACAGCCGTCTCTCTCATCCAGGCGACTAGTCTTAGTAGAGGTGATCGCTGCACCTCGTTTGCTGCTTGTACAAGGGAACAGCGTATTCCTAGCTCCCTCCCTTTGAGCTATGCAGCTTCTCCTGCTC